CTAATCCATTTTCCTCAGTGTACCCGATAACTGATTCTTTCTCCCAAGAAAGAAAAGTTTTTAAGTTCTTAGAAATTGGTTTACTAACTTCAATTATTTTTGCTTCAGCCATTCTTACAAACTCGTTATACTTAAAGTTACTTTTTTCTGTTTTAAATACTAATTAAAATTATGAAACCCACTAACTAAACATCATCAGCGGTATTGTGAAGCAGTTCCGCTTCCTCCTCACAAAGTAATTTAACGTTTTTTGTTAATTTCTATCTAGCTAATTGAATTTCTACAGTAACTCAATCATTTAATTATTTCATTTGTTTATCTTATTAAGAAGAATTGTTTCAAGTGTGTTAAACTTTTTAACTTACGCGAAGCATAAAACAGTTATTGAAAAAACTTTTATTTATAAATAAATCATCTGGTTGAATCTTGTTGGTCTTTTCAGGGCCGGGGGCTGCATTATTTTGGCGGCTTTTTTTATGTGTCACAGCGTAAAAATGACTTAAAAAAATAGCGAATGGTCCTCTTGACTATTTCCCCTAACATTATGAGTCCCGGGGCTATAGCCCTACTACCCCCACCCCACCTCCTCAATCCAGCACTGGAAATAAGACATAAGTATATAAATAAAAATTATATATACTCTTTGATAAATCGAAGAACATTTGTTTTTTTATAGTTGTTACTTTATATAAAAAATGTCGCTTTATTTTATAAAAAAAGTTATGAAAGAGCGACGTTTCAAAAATAATTGCTCTTCGCGTTTTTTCGCGTTAAAAGCTATTTTTCTTTTTTTAACTGTCTCTCATCGGTCCAGTTAATCTTATTGCGCTTTTTTGCTTGTTTTTGAAATGTTCTCAAAACGACTAAAAAATCTGGCCGGTTTTTCGCAACTAAATAATATTTCTGTGGTCAATTATCGAGTGCGATTGCACCTGCTTCCCGACCAAGCCTGATATTTCCAGCAAAAGAATATAGACAGCAATGATTGAATTTAACAAACATGCAGCAGATGGAAGAGGTTTAAATATATCCGAGTCTTGCTACAGAATTGATTTAAACTTTCAACATAGATCTCCAAGAAAATTCCAAAGTCTTGTTAGTTGGATCTTCTTGCAGATAGCTATCCAAGTTAAAAAATAAATCCCATCATTTGCAAATTTTTTCTCTAAAACTAAAAATCTAGATTTAAATAAATTGTAGTTATCACATATTACTTTAGAATCATCCCAAGTTGAGTATAGATGGTGAAAGTGTAGATGGTAGAACCTGTGAAGATGAGTATAGATATTAGAATCTGTGAAAGTCATTGGGCATCCATTTGAAGTATATCTGTTTGTACTGCAAGGGTTCTAAAAGTGAGGATGTGCTTTGCAGCCAAACCCATTTGTTTACTTGAATGTTTCAATTCCTAAATTTAAGTAAACCATCTAAAATTTAAGTTTATTAATAACAATTATAATAAGTGATAATTGTCATTTTTTCTGACACCTTTTTCCCCATACTTTTGTAATATGATTTAAAAGACAGGATATAGCGTTTACTGTATATCCTACCTGTTTTTCAATGATAATGACTAAAGAACCTTTTTCAATTTATTACTACTTTTGTTTTCTTAGTTTAAATAAGACAGCAATTATGTGAATTTTAAAATGACAAAAATATTTTTTATGCATTAGTAACATAAATAATAATATATAGCTATTTCTGTTAGAAATTTAATTACTGTTGACTTTATTTTCAATAGTCAGTTGATCATCTGATATGTACTGTTTTATCTTGTGGTACAGTCAGTGATGACAGATTTCCCACACTTGTCAATAAGTTGTCGCACTTGACTTTCTAATTTTTGATAGAACTTGTCTCGTTTCTAAGATAGTGACACTATAATGTTCGTAAATTTGTTCAGAAGCTGAAGTGTGTGATCCATACAGGGCATTTTATGATATGGAATATGTACTGGCAGCAATAAATCAGTTGGGTCAAAAAAATAAAGGCCGTCTCATTATTTGTTTTATGTTCAGACTCTTCAGATTTAGACTCTTCAGATTCAGAATCATCAGGTTTTATGGCTGCTTGCTCTTCTTGATATGGCTGCTTGCTCTTCTTGATATGGCTGCTTGCTTTTCTTGATATGGCTGCTTGCTCTTCTTGATATGGCTGCTTGCTCTTCTTGATATGGCTGCTTGCTCTTCTTGATATGGCTGCTTGCTCTTCTTGATATGGCTGCTTGCTCTTCTTGATATGGCTGCTTGCTCTTTTTGATATAGTCTGATGGCTTTAACCATATTTGACCCATTGTCTGAAAAAATCAACATATCTTGATCTTCTCTAATATCCCAATGGTCAAGGCATTTCTTTAAACATTCTGCAAACATCTCACCCATGTGCGGATGCTGAAGTGCTGTCAAATATAGGAAGACATGTCATGTTTGATCAAAAGTGGCGTCATAGAAACACACAGATATACCAAAGAACAATACTGAGACTCTTCTTTGTCCAACCATCAAAACAAATTGTTACTTTACGTGCACAAAGTCTTTCAGTTGTGCAGATTGTAGTTTAAAATAATTGTTTATTGGCTTTTTTAGTGTTGCAGACCTTGCAATATAAAAATTAAAGTTAAAATTACAGCATTTAGTGTTGTAAATATTATAATTATGGGTAATTATGTGAATTTAGGTATTTTTTGCTACATTACTATTAATGTAAATTTGGTGGAATTTATCATTTTTGGTGGAATTTATCAACTTTGCTTTAAATTTTAAGCTATTTTTACATAAATTATGGTTAACCTAAAATAATTTAAAATAACCTTAAAATAATTGCTTCATAGTTATTTTTGGTTACTTCAAGTTATTTGGCATTATTTCTTTTATTTTATATGGTTAGACATTAATTATGGTTACTTCAAGTTATTTGGCATTATTTCTTTTATTTTATATGGTTAGACATGTGCAACAACAATAAAGAAAATGTAAACAAATTGTCAAAAAAAAATTTTTTATTAAATTTTACTTTTATATTCAATAATTTTTGTTCAGTAATAATTCATAATTTTACTTCTATTTTTCTTTCTAATACTTAATTCTATTTCAGTTTTTGTTCTTCAAATAATTAAATTTTTTTTTTTTTTTTTCACATTTATGAAATTGATTATCTTTTTTTCTAATTTTACTTAGCTCAACTTAACTTAAATATCACTAGCAATCACACTTTATTTCTGACCACACATAATGTTTAGTTTCAACATTGGCCACAGCTTTTTAGCTGTTTTGAAAACATTTAGATGTTTTGAGAACATGTATGTTTCCATGTATGTCTGAAAAATTTCAACGCACTAAAAGAACTAACTTTGTAACAGTAATCAAATGTTTCTATATTACCATAACATTTATGAAAAAAAAATTTGTCAAATTTTTTAAAAAAATATATAGTTTTAATTATATATAAGTTATATAGTTATAGTTATATATAAGTTTAGAAAGTTTTATTAAAACAATCAATCTTGCTTTGCAGAGAAATGAGTTGAGTAAGGTACTATAGTGACGTGGTGGGGTGTGAACTTTGCTTTTAATTAACAAAATGCAAAATAAAATTATAATTCACTTAGAATGTAATATGGCCACTTATAAAATAAAAGAAATAATGCCAAATAACTTGAAGTAACCAAAAATATCTATGAAGCAATTATTTTAAGGTTATTTTAAATTATTTTAGGTTAACCATAATTTATGTAAAAATAGCTTAAAATTTAGTTTATTATAGGCATATGCTCGAATCACAGTTTTTATCATGTTGTTTTACAATTTGTAATTTCTTGTATTTAAATGGTTTATACTTTAATTAAAATTTTTTTGTATTTAATTGTTTACTTTTAGCATGAGATTTTTATAAATATTTAGAACTGTAATAAAAAAAAAATTAACCAATCAACTTATTCATTTATAAGCTTTTAACCAATCAACTTATTTATTTATAACTAATCAACTTATTTATTTATTATCAATCAACTTATTCATTTATAAGCTTTTATAAAAAATATTTTTTATAAAAGTTACTAGAAGTCAAATACAAAAATAATTCAGTTTATTCAACTATATTTATTTAGTTATTGTATAAAAATTTTGAATTAATAAGTTATTTTATTTACCATAAACCAATTAAAAATTAATTGGTTTATGGTAAAACTTTAAAATAAAAACATTTTATTGTTATTGCTGCATAAATCATTGCTACAAATATGTAAAAAGAAAATGAAGTTTTATTAGAAATCTATTCAGAAAAAAATGAAGAAAATTATAGCAAAGGTTGCTGGTTAAACAAAACTTCATTAAAAATACAAAAAAGTTGTTAACTGCTGTTAATATTAATTATTAATATAATTTAAATTTCTACTTTTCTTTATTTTTATTTCTATTTTTACTTTAAATTCTATTATTTATAATCTAAAATTGTTTTTATAATTTTTCCTAATTATAGTGTCAATAGGATTATTTTAAGATTTAAAAAGTTTTTATTTTTATATATTTTAATACTTAAATTCCAGTGCTCCAGACAGATGTTTCTTTTTTGCTTTTTAGAACTTATATTGTCTAAATTTTTCTAAAGACTTCCTTTATTTTAAAAATTCTCTTATTGATTCAAGTTTTTTTGTTGAAGTCTTTTTATCATGGCAAATGTTTTTTAAATAAGTTTTATTATTGAAGTGATAAATTTAAATAAAGAAAAGTTTAATGTCTTTTTTCCTAGTTTGCTTGTTTTCTTGTGTTTTTCAATTCCATGAACACAATTTAAATTTAAGATTCAATTTAAGAAGCATTTAAAAATCTGAATTTTTTTTACTCTTTGGTTTTTTAAATGGCTGTCAAAGGAATGTTATCTGTAAGTTTGTAAACTTGGCAACCACATAAAGCATGGTAACCAAATAAAGCATGGTAACCATAATAACCAAATAAAACATGATAAATTTTTTTAGTATTGATTTTTTATAAATTGTTTAGGTTCGGAAACAAACTTACAAAATAAAGAAAAAAAATGTTGTCAAAGAGTTCTCATCAGCTCTTCGGGATAAATCTTGCACTATATTGTCTTCATCTATTAAGGTAATTATTAAAATTGATTACCATTGTGACTTCGGAGCTCATAGTGATAACTTATTTTGATCAAGATAACTTTTTATAGTTGAATAATTGTTAAAACTTCTTAGTTTGTATATTTGTAAAAAAAAAATCATTGAGTATTTAACATTATATTTTATATATATTATAATTTGTATATCTGATGTGATATTTCTAAAAATTAACATTAAAAATGGGATTGAATAGTGGAATACAGTATTTTGTTCCAGTTGTAGTAATTTTTTAATATCTAGTAGTATGTTGCAGTAAATTAAAGTCAGATCAGAATTAGGATCATCATAATCACCAACATGTAGTCTAGTGGAACCTGTCATATGTCCTGCTGCCCTGTAGGATTTGTTATTCTAAACAAAGACTAGAAATAGTTATCTCTGAGTTTAAATACCCTCTGTCTTGCGACTCTTGTTAAGTAAAAACTAAAGATGATGTCTCTAAAAGTAGCCATTCCAAGTAGATGTTAATAGCATCTGGGTACTAACTTGCAAAAGTCCCCTAAGCCAAGGCATTAGAGGTAAGCAAAGGCATTAGAGGTAAGCCAAGGCATTAGAGGTAAGCCAAGGCATTAGAGGTAAGCCAAGGCATTAGAGGTAAGCCAAGACATTAGAGGTAAGTAGAAAATCCCTCACCCCATATTCATCTAATAGAATGGCTAGATGTAAACCTGTGTTACGTTGTTTCCTGCCAAGGAATCTTCTTCCAAAGACTTTCTCTTTTCAATGTTGTTTGGACCTTTGTTGATCTGCTTTTGAACATCCAAATCTTTTGTTGCCGAAGTTATCATTTTCCACTCCTCTTCAGCTTGTATGGATAACATCTTTACAAAAGTGTTTTTCAAAGATCTCTTAATTTCACTCCATCTTTTTTTAAACCTGTTTACTTCCAACAAGGCTGCAAGCACCCACTATTAGAGATAGAAATTATGGGGAAAAAAAGATGCATTTATTAAGCAAGATAACAATTAGCAAACAACTTAAAAGATTGCAAGTCATATTAATCAGGAAAACAAGATGAAGGTAGTAAATTCCGAAGAACTTATGTTCGAGGAAAAAAACTAGACTAATTAGAATTTTTGGGTACTTAGGAACAGTCACAGTAAAAGAATGAAACTTAATTGAATGATGAGTAACACGAGAATGAGTTTTAGTAGATGGTACAAGAGATGGTAGCTCTTTATTGCAGCACCCATTATAGTATTTATAAAAAAAAGAAAGAGAAGCAACAGTGACTTCAACCATGTGTCAACCTTCAACCATGTGACAATGGTTAAAGGTTGACTGCAAGAGCAAGTCCAACAATGTTTAGAATTCATTTTTGCACCTTGTCTATAAGAGAAGGTCATCATTCAAAGATCTGCTGCAGACATGGCAACAGTATTCTATACAAGGACAGGCTTGAGATTTATAGAAATAAAGAATTGTATCTTAAGTAAGAAAATGGCAACCACGATAAAGTGATGCAACCTTAACAGATGCTAATTTTGCATTAGATTTGATATACGGTTTCCAAGAAAGATCGGAAGTAAGAGTTACCCTTAGGGTTGAAAGGTAGATGACTCATCAAGTAATTACCATTTATAAATATAGAAAGATCTAGATTATTGCAATAACGATTAGCTGAAAAAAATTGAGTTTTATCTGACTTCGAGTTTACCAGCCACTTAGTGCCTTATGCTTTAGCAGAAGTGAGATCCTTTTTGTGCTCAAGCAATCAGTGAGTGTTGGTTTCTTATCAAGACAAGAATAAATGGTAGTATCTTTAGCAATCAATCCCACCTTAGATGTGAGAAATTCTGGAAGATCGGTAATGTAAATTAAAAAAGTATAGGGCTAATGGATAGAACCTTGAGGAACCACTGAAGTTTCAAAAAATGAAGAATTGTACTGTCCATCAAGGACAACTTTTATACTGTGATTTGTAAGGAAGGATTCAATAATTTCAAAGATGTTACCTGATACACTGTAAAAAGAAAGCTTATAGAGAAGACCAACATGCCAAACTTTATCAAAGCTTTAGAAAAGGCTCTAAATATAAATGTAATGTAAAATGTTAACTATCGCCAGTCAAAACTATTTAACAAGTGCTTAACTGACTTTTGTTTCTCGCTTGCTAGAAAATGCAATCCAGTGCTAATGCTGACCACACAAATAATATTATTTTTTAATAACTTGACCATGACTGTTTAGATAATTTTTAAACATTTTAGAAATGTGCTGAAACAAGAAATGCTAGCTAAACTTCAACTAACAAAAAAAAAAAAAAAAATAGAAAAATTAAAAAAGAAATTCCTAACAAAAAAGAAAATATATAAGCACTAAAATTAAAATAAAAAAATTTGAAGAGAAATTACTTTTTGTTACGTTTTTAATTGCGTTTAATTTGAATTACTTAAAAATTTATCTTTTGAAATGTTTTATTAAAGTAAAAACACTTTAAAACACTTTTACAAATTACTTCTAATGATTCTTTAATGAATGAACAAATTTTATTTAAATTACTAAAAAATGTTATATATATTATTTTTAAATTGTATAAACATTTATATTTTCCAAAAAGTTGCAAAAAAAAAATTCTTAAAAAAAAAAACTGTAGTTTATTTAAAATAGTAATTTGTAATCATTTCATGGTCTGATTAGTCAGTCAAGTTAAAAAAAAAAAAGTTTCAAACAATTCTTTGTAAAAATAGAAACAAAAAAAAAATAAAGCAATAAATGATTCCATTGCATCGGAAGATTTAATTTATTCATAATTTAAAGTATTTAAAAAAATTATCTTTCAAAAGATAATTTTCAAAATAATTAATTTTCAAAAGCCATGGAAAAATAGTTTCAAACAAATTATTATACTTAAATTTATCATTAAAAAAACATGTCCACGCAAAAAAAATTTAAATATAACACTGTTTGTTAATTTACCCAAAATACTTTTATTTTAAACCATTCACTATAATTACTTTTTTATTTAATTTAAAACTTTCGCATAAAATAAAAACTTTATAAAAGATCTACGATTTTTACTATTTATAACGTAACTATTTTTTAAATTTGTAAAACATAAAAAGTGCTGTGGTCAAATTGTAAAGAAAAAATATTATAAGCGTTGTCAGTTACAGCATGCGATCGCACGCCATGCCTGTCTAAGTCTGCATACATATATACATAGTTTTTAAGCTTCAGTTAGGCAATGCTGTCTAGACATCTTTGATATAGCATTAATTATTTTATGATACCTTTCTTTTCCTGTACTCATTTTATCCCCAATGTTTTAGCGGAGACATTTCTTTTTAATGTTTAGCTCTGTGTGTGTGTGAAATAGCAAAAAAAATTTAGGAAGAGGTAGGTTTCGAACCACAGACTTTCCATTTATAAAGCTAACACCTAATCCAAATAAGCTAAAGATGAGTATTGTAAAAACAGATAGCAGTTTATATTTTTGTTTTTCTCTTATAAAACAAGCAAGTAAAATAAAGGAAAATCGTTCTTTTTAATGTCGACTTCAAACTTTTTTTTTTTTTGCTTTGTCTTATCTAACTTTTTTGTTGAAAATAACAACCACTCTAAAGAAACAAAAATAAAAACAGTACACAAGTTGTTTAAATTATTTTTTCGTTTTTGAAACAGTTTTTTTCTGCAATGATTAATATAATAAAACTTGCAAACGGCCATGACCAAGTTGTTTAAAATATAACTCATGGGTGGTCATACAAGACGAAAAACAGACATGTTTCCTAGGAAGGCTTGAATTCTAATTCTCCCATTTTTCTTACATGTTTTGAGCCTCTACCACGCTCTCAGTATTAAAATCTGAATTTTCAGCGATCTCTTCCAAAGACTCAAGAATTTGAGAAAAATTATTTGAAACACCTTCACTGAGTTTGCATGAGCATCTATCTAGTTTTAGACAGAGCTTTGAGTGATTGAGTGCTGTGTTTAATAATATGTTCCATCTTTTGGTTGAGTATTCAAAGAAATTATATATTTTCTATAGGATTGCAAATAAATTCACACATTCTATGGAGGAGTTCACACTTGCAGCTCCTACTAAATTCGAAGAATGCCTTGAGCATGGGAGGAATTGAGCATATTTATTTTTCTTCAAAATACCGCGTGCATACCTTTATATTTTCCTGCCATGTTCGGCGACCTGAAAAATCGATTCCACAGCCTAAAGTCAAAAAATTGAATACAGTTGCAACTAAATATCTACCACTATGAACTTTAATTTCAAGAAATTTTAAGAGTCTTTCCATTGGCTTCGTCTCTCCTGGTGGTAGATATCGAGATCCTGGTGATAGATATACACAGAGTTGATCAATGTGGGACAAGTCTGATGTTGAGTCTACTAAAATACCAAAATATTTTTATTGCTTGATATCATCAATTATTGATGATAAAACATATTAATTGTTCTTCATCATTTTTCCCGCTAAAAACATTTTCCTGTGGCAAAATTTCTGAACTAAAAATTGCATTGCTGATCATTGGTAGAAGTTAAGGAATTTCTTTTGTAAATTTTTTTAGATAATTCATTTTTGAAAAACTTTTTCATATTTGGCAGCTCCACTTTCATCACTTCTTTTCATTTTGATATTTTTCTGCAACAATGATCCTATAAAATTATTTATGTTGTAAAAATATTATTTGATTTTTTACTTAGTTTTATTATTTTACAACCTAATTTTGCTTTTCATCAAATTTACTGCAGTTTTAATCAAAAACTCAAAAAGTTAAACAACTTTAATACACTCAAAACAAATTCAAACAATTTTAATACACTCAAAAAATAATTGAGATGTCATTGTGAATGATTCACATAACACCCTGATAAAAACTTTTGTTTTAAAAGTCATACACCAAAGTTAAAACAAAAGTATTTTATCTAAATTTAATAGTTAACTACTAAAATTATGTAAAATTAAAGTTTACTACAATTGTGTATATGTAAAATTAAAGTTTACCGTTTTGAATTAGAAGTAAAATATTCTCCTATTTATGCAATTTTGGGGGTCAATGGAAATCAATGGAAATCATAAAATATTTATCAGAATTTTTTCAAAAAAATCTTCATTCTTTTCAATTGTAAGCCATAAAACTTGATCAAATTTGAGGATTTGGGGCCCCCAAAATTGTCGGGCCTTAGGCTGCAGCTTATTCAGCCTAAATCCCAAGAATGTCTAAATCCAGTACTGGATAAGTACTCTGACTCATGACATTCTTTTGATAAAGTCTGGCATGCTTGTCTTCTTCATAAGCGCATTTTATAAGGTGTCTTAAAAATTTTTTAAAAATTATCATAAATTTTGGTGAAATATTTTTGTTAAAGGTTTCGAGAAAGTAATATTGTGTTATTGTTAAGTGTTTATGTTCATGGACAACACTCTCCTTCATTATGTTCATGGACAACACTCTCCTTTGTTTTCAATAGCTTTAAAGTACCACAAGGTTGTATTCTTGCTACTGTGTTGTTTTTTTATCTATAATAAAGATTTTTCTGATAATCAAATATTTTTTCTTATAACCGCTGAAGCGGCTCATCTATTGTTGCTAACATAATAACATACTCTTTATTAAAAGTCTTGTCTTGACACAAAAATTAAAATTTGTTGATTGTTAAGATCGCACAGTGGAACTTAAAAGCAAACTCTTTTCTTTGACCCAAACAAAACTTTTTTAGCATTTTTTTTTTATTATTCTAAAAAAAATCTTATTTTGCTAACTATTATTTATTAGCTGACTTGCTTTATTATTATTTTATATTATTATTAACTTGCTTTATTATTATTTTATATTATTATTAACTTGCTTTATTATTATTTTATATTATTATTAACTTGCTTTATTATTATTTTATATTATTATTAACTTGCTTTATTATTATTTTATATTATTATTAACTTGCTTTATTATTATTTTATATTATTATTAACTTGCTTTATTATTATTTTATATTATTATTAACTTGCTTTATTATTATTTTATAATATTATTAACTTGCTTTATTATTATTTTATATTATTATATTATTTACTAATTGTATGTTTGTTGCTAATACTTATTGTAATATTGTTTCCTGTTGATTGATAAATGGTAACACTCTTACTGAGTCTTCTACTTTACATTTTTTTGGACTGTTCCTCAATACTGACCTCTCAGGAAAATAATATACATTATCCATTGTAAAATTATAATCTAATTTCTAAGAGGTTCACTCTCTTTATTGGGCAGGCAAGGTCAAAAAACATATTTAAGATGTTGTTAGAACTGTTCTTTATGCCAAGCTTGAGCCTTGCATTGTTTTAAGGTTGCATTTCTTTCTCTTTACTGAAAATAGTACCATGGTTGTTGCTTAAGCAAGCTATCATCTATTGTAACTAATAATAGCTTTGTTCTTTCAAATAATCTTACCTTTAAGGGTTATTCAAAAAAACAAATTGTAGTTAATTCATCAGTAAGTTATACTTCAGTGTAAGAGTTGTGTCATCAACTCTATTTGCTGATGATACAACTCTCAGATGATGAGAAAGAAAAATAAACAAGATTAAATAAATATGATTTTTGTTAGTAAGTTATTTTAAATACTATTATACTTTTATAGATACGCAGGACTTTAAAAAGTTGGGCAACGTATTTGTGTTTTTTTTATAGATACGCAGGACTTTAAAAAGTTGGGCAAAGTATTTTTGTTTTTTTTATAGATACGCAGGACTTTAAAAAGTTGGGCAAAGTATTTGTGTTTTTTTTATAGATACGCGGAACTTTAAAAAGTTGGGCAAAATATTGGTGTGTTGTGAAACCTGAGCTGGTTATTATCTACAAAAGCACTAAAGTATAAACTTATATAAGAAACATTTCAAGATTTAATTGAATTAAAACAAGTTTTTTTCACTTTTATTCTTTGTTTTTTTTTTTTCCACTTATTTATAGCAACGTCATTGGGTAGGAACTATTCTTATAAATAATTGCGAGTTCTTTGAAAGGCCATCTTCCAAAGAAGGATTTTGTTTTAAGATTTTCAACCCTTATGGTGAGACTATATGGGCAACCAAGGTAAATGTTGTTTGTTGCATTATTTGAGTTATTATTGTGTTATTTTTTAGTCAAGTTAAATTCAATATATGGTTATTTTATTTAGGGACCAAATGGTGAGCTAGCTGCTGCTCTTGTCCAACCAATGCCTAAAGATCACTTGATATTACGTGCTGATAATGAGCACACAGGTAAATATTTTAAAAATCATTTGATATTACGTGCTAATAATGAGCACACAGGTAAATATTTTAAAGATCACTTAACATTACATGCTGATAATGAGCTCACAGCTAAATATTTTAAAGTCTTTTATTTATGTTTAAAAATCTTTAATTTTTGTGTCATTTTTTTTCCATATTTTATCGTGCATTATTAAAAAATAATTAACAGTTTTTGTTTATAAATAAACAGTAGTTGTATTGATTTTATAAATAATGTAGTTGTAATGCTTCCACATAATTTAATTTTTGTATGATTAAATGAGTATTTTGAGCAGGTAAATGTTGGTTAGATGCACTTGAAGTTGCTCAACAATCTTCTCTTGTTACGTCTAATAAAATGTAAGCCTTTTTTTTTTTTTGTTATATTGTATGTTGTATATGCAGAACATACGATTTATGTATATTTATCGCAATTAATGCATTTTCATACCATTTATATATATATATATATATATATATATATATATATATATATATATATATATATATATATATATATATATATATATATATATATGTATATATATATATATATTCATGTATATATATATATATATATATATTTATGTGTATATATATATATATATACATAAATATATAAATATATATATATATATATGTATATATATATATATATATATATATATATATATATATATATACATATATATATACATATATATATATATATATATATATATATATATATATATATATATATATATATATATATATATATATATATATATATATATATATATATATATATATATATGTTTATATATACTTAAATTTAGACAAAACAACTTTTAATGGAATTTAAAGTTTCATGCCTAACGGCAATCATCAGCCATGAAGTACAAAATCAAAAATATAAAAAACCGTTTTAAAATTACAAACTACGGTAGAATGAGTTCTGACGTTATAGTACAAGAAGATGTAATGGAAAACTAATCGGCTATCAAATAATGAAAGGAAAAATTTATTTTTGTGTCTAGATTTAGAAACTAATTCACATCTTTTGTTTAGCAGGTTGTTGCCTTTGAAAAATAATATTTCAAATTTCTCATTTAAACAAAGTTTACAAATTTTTGACGCAGGTATTATTTACAGCATTTAATAATATTCATATATATATGTATGTGAGTTGATTATAGATTTAATGTTTGACATGCAGGAGTAGCTTAATTGTTTTTCTGTTAAATATTTTGTGTATGTTGTGGTCTTTAGGAAGACCACAACCTACACAGTTTTCTAAAGAAATATGAAAATTAAAAGAAAACAATTTTGCATCTTCAATCGAATAGAATATTATTAAATGCTGTTAATCATACAATCCTGCGTCAAAAATTAGTAAGCTTTGTTTAAATGAGAAATTTGAAATATTATTTTACAAAGGAGACAACTTGCTAAACAAAAGAGACAAATTAGTTTCTAAATGTAGACACAAAAACAAATTTCTCCTTTCATTATTTGATAGCAGAGATTAGTTTTCCATTACGCCTTCTTGTACTATAATGTCAGAACTCATTCTACCGTGGTTTGTAATTTTTAAATGGTTTTTTATATTTTTGATTTTGTATTTCATGGCTGATGATTGCTGATAGGCATGAAATGCTTTGTTTTTGAAAAAAATATATATTTCTTAAATATTAGGCACTCTGCAACGATCAAGAGTTTAGTATTTTTAGTACTAAATCATATAACAACAATATATATATATATATATATATATATATATATATATATATATATATATATATATATATATATATATATATATATATATATATATATTTAAGTTGTGATATGGGTAAAATTAGTTATAAGTCATAAATATTAATATATATTTAATAACAATGGTGCCAAAAAATAATGTCAAATTTTTTTATTCCTTTGTACATTTGAATCACAGCATCTCTTTTTCTTCTATTTTTCTATTGTATGAAATTCAAAATCTCTAATAAATTTTGTAAATTTTTTTTTTTTCTTTAGTATTTTCTTGTAGCTGGTTCTATTTGAAAAATTTTTCTTGTAACTGGTTCCATTTGAAAAGCTTTTGTTGCTATTTGCTGAACTTTTCCAATTGAGTCTTTAATAAAAAGCATTATTTATTATGTGAATTATTATTTGTTAAGTGACTTATTATTTATTGACTTATTATTTGTTAAGTGACTTATTAATTTTTATCAAAACTAGCAATGTTGTGTTTTTGTTTATAAATTATTTCAATAATTCACATAATATTATTATGTGAATTATTATTTGTCAAGTGACTTATTATTTGTTAAGTGACTTATTATTTATTAAGTGACTTATTATTTATTGACTTATTATTTGTTAAGTGACTTATTAATTTTTATCAAAACTAGCAATGTTGTGTTTTTGTTTATAAATTATTTCAATGTGGTTTTCCATTAAATTTTATTTACTAATATTATTCCTAGGTCTTTTTTTTTTGTCATTTCTATTAGCTCATGTTGAATGACCTATTTTTATCTAGTTTTATATTTTAGTATTTATTTTTAGACTTATATAAGCTCTCTTCTTGAGATCTTCTTTTTATTACAGTTTTAGGTCAGTAGTGAAGGAAAAAATTAACAACAAAAAAATCAGTGGAAAAGAAAAATAGAGAACTTATTAAGAGTTAGTGTTTTCTTAAACTGGTTCCCAGTATCCTCTGATATTGCTAATATATCCTGGAGTATATTTTTCTTTGCTTCTTTGCCATTCGACATTTAAATAAGAAATTAAAAATGTGCAAAAAAAATTTTGAATGTTTTTTAAACAGCTATTATGGAAATGTATCAAAGCTTACTTTGGTACAATTTCTTTGGCTTTTCACTTTTACATAAATGTCATAAAGAAAAGTGAATTCATTAGAAAATCATTTTCTGAAAAAGTCAAACCCAAAAAAATCAACCATAATGTGATTTATGATATAACTAAAGAAATATCTAGTAGTTGCGATTTTCTTTATCATTAGGCAAGTCTTAAAGTCAAATCAAATTTAAATGTAGCATAAATTTACGCTAGTCAACAATGTTTTAGAACCTGGGGATGACTCACATATCGCATGATCACTTCCTGCAAATAAAATTATGGTTCTAGTAGAAAAGAGACTGTTAAATTTCAATTTATTAAATAAGAGGTACATTATAACAAATGTCACTGGTGGAGCATCTGTAAATGAAAGAATTTGTATGTCTAAGTGTTATTGAAGATTGAAGTGGTATGTGTGATGTTCTTTACAAAAAGACAAGTCCTTCAGAGGCAAAATGTATTAAAGGTGATTCACAGTTGCAAGATTCTGATAAAAATGATTGTGAAAATTGTGATGATTACATTTAATAAATTTGAATATTTAGCAACACTCTCAGTGAGTCCTTTACTTTACATCTAGGATTATCATTTACTACTACCTCAAAAAGGGTCAAAAAACACTGTTTTTTTTTTGTTGTTTTTTTTTAAGTGTTTTTTTGTTTTGTTTTGTGGTGTTTTTCTGCTTTTTTTTAAAAAAAATTTTTAGTTTTTTTGGCATAAATTTTGCATTAGTTTTCTTTTATTCTAGTCTGTTTTTAGTATATGATCATCAAAAGCAGAATTTATAAACACCAATTTAAGTTATATTTTGTATAAAAAATTAAATTAGTTATAAGTTAATATAGGTATACTGTATAAAAATGTTTATTTGTTATGTTTTTTTACTTTCTAATAACTGTGGTACACAGGGATTATGTTTTTTTTTCCGGAATTCCAAATATTTCTATAAATTTTTATTTTTTCCAAATAGTTTTCTGAATTATTTGATTTATTTAATGACAAAAAAAAGTACCAGTATTTTTTTTTTTTTGTCGTCAAATAAATAAAACAGTAAGGCTATTTTCATCAATTACTGTTTTATTACATTTTATTATTATTATATTACAGGAGCTATATTTTACTTAGGTTAAATTATTTGTATAAATAATTTTTTCTTATTTGTACGTGTATATTTATTATTAAAGGGATTACCAAGTGCCAAGACAAATTAGAATAATTGCTCAACTTTACGTGAATAAAAATTTGAGCAAAATTGCTAAATATTTTATCTACGTAAAGTTGAGCAACTAATTGAAAAACGCTGAGTAAAAGTTATTGCTTTTTTTTTATTCACCTGGCCTATTCGAAAATATATGTATGTATTTAAATTATAAAATAAGTTTTGAGTTGATTAAATTTGCCAAATTTATTTATTGAGATATTAACAAAAAAACATTGTTTTGCCATTATACTTCCAGTTAAGAGGTTAACATAAACATAATATTTTTTGTTGTAAAATATCTGGTGTAAATAATAAATGTGCTTAATGCAGAGTTTTTAAAATAATTTCACAGGGTTTTCTACTTAAAACTTACCGCAGAGTTTTTTAAACAATATCACAATTAGGATGTTTGCCTTTTACTTCAACTGGAAACTGTTAACAAAATAAAAATTGTAATTAAACAAAGAATACCGCATTTCTATTTTGATTTATTTTTGTTTCTTTTAAAATATTTTGTTCATTTACTGTGAAATCAAATTTATTTGTACTATTTTCTTACTAAATCCAAATAAAATTAAAAAATTTTTTGGTTTTAAAATTTTATCAGCAAAACTTGTATCATAATTTTTTAAATTTCTTATATTTATAGCTCTAATATAAATTTCATTATCTTATATTTATAGCTCTAATATAAATTTTGTTTTTAAAATAAATCAAAATTAAACTTTTAAAGCGTTTACTAATTGAGATTAAAGCGTTTACATATTGTTATTTTTATTTGGTTATTATATGTTTAATAAATGGTTTTATAAAAGCATTGGGCGTCATTTATTATCTACAAAACGCCAGTATCTAATTAATAAAAAAATCAAAGAGCCAGATCTTATTTTCAAGAAAAAAAATTGGGTCAAAAGTTATAGTTTTTTGCTAATGTTTTGATAAATACTTTGTTTTGGAATGTTTAAATAATATGAAACTTATTTTTTTAGATTTATTAAATTTTAAAGATTTATTAAAATTTATTAAAAAATTCAAAAACTATAAAATCTAGTTTAATTTATAAACTTATAAGTTCAAGTCTAAAAACTTGAAATACTTTTCTTTCCTTCCAAAAAATTTCTTTTCAACACATGAGTCTTAAATACACAAAAAGCGTTTTTATTCCTAGATTTTTGTGGATAATTTTTGTCTTGAAAATATTTTCCGGATATTATAAGAAAAATTTTTTCGGGTATTTTAAATATGACCAGGATAATCTCTGAGTACATAAACTGTGACACTCATTATATACAGAAACTATTCTTATCCTATAAGA